TGTGTGTGTGTGTGTGTGTGTGTGTGTGTGTGTGTTTGATTGCTTTAATGTTGATACTTTTACATCCCCATCGACACAATTTAGATCTTTTCGGAGGCAGGCTTCGGACCCTGCCTGTGACGTTAGACCGTGACTGCTGTGTGCCGGCCGGCGACGTCCGCCAATATTGGACCCGCTACAGGAAGTCAGTCTGTGTGTGTGTGTGTGTGTGTGTGTGTGTGTGTGTGTGTATGTGTGTGTGTGTGTGTGTGTGTGTGTCATTGAGGTCACACAACTATTTCGGGACTTTCCTCTCCAAGATTGACTGACGCCTGTGGTGTAACTGTTAGGTGATTTGGTGTCACACGCAGGAGAACCGATTTCGTTATCCGAGTGGGGAGAAAATATTTATTGAGTACCTCGGTCTTTCTGCCAGGATGTTGCATCCCTCTCAGCCCGGATTGGTCAAAACAGGCAGGGTCGAAGCGTGCCTCCTAAAATATACTCTAAACTGTGTCGGAACGGGCTTACCTCTCCTCCTTCTTTCATGTCAAATATTTATCGTCCTTATCTCTACACCTTTTTTCATTTCCAACATCTACTGCCTTTATCTCTTTACCTTCTTTTCTATCAAACATAATATCGTCCTTCTCCCTCCCACTTCTTTCCTGTCAAACATCTATCGTCCTCATGTCTCCGCCTTCTTTTCTATCTGATATCTATCGTCCTTATCTCTCAGCCTTCTTTCCTATCAAACATCTATCGTCTTTATCTTGGTTCCTACTTCTCTTTGTATGTTGCTCTCTAGTAACACCTCCAATCTTTGACACTTATAAAAAAAATATGAACTTAATTGTGTTGCAAGTGCCGTAAAACTCTAGAGAATGTCGAAACAAACAGTACAACTTCGAATATGCTATTTGCATGTGGGCGTAACTTGTTCATCTACGCGCAGATGTGGCCAAGCAAAAGGTTTCCACCCGAACTGGGTCAGGCTCATGTCTGTCCCAGGTCAGGTTTGTGAGATCCGAGCCTCACATTAAAGATCTCTGACGTTAGACGTTTGGTAAATATATGTCACATTTGCGCCCCCTCCCCCCTCCCCCACTCCTGACACATTTTCGTGTCCCCAGAATCTGCCAGCATGTCTTGAGGTGTGATACAGTTATGACTTTAAGGAGACCCGAAGAAAATACTTAATGCGCCGATTTGAAAAAAAAAAATTGTTCTCCGTCCTCCATCCCATCAGAATTCTTGATTTTTATAAAGAATGTTGGTCTTTGTTCCGAAAGGTAGTCAAGATAGTACTATTTTAAAGAGGAAATGACAGTTTTTACAATTGAATTTTTGCCATAAATTTTAAATTTCTACCATGGGCTAAAACCAAGTCGTGCTTTGAACTAACGTAGAAAAAAATAAACTTGTGTCCCACGCTCTCGTATTATGTCCCAATGGTGTTGCAAGCACCGTAAAACTCTTTCCAAACTTCCAAAATGTTATATGTACAATGTAAAAGAAATTATCGTTCTTATGTTTGAATGACAGGCGACAAAAACTAGTGTATCTTGAGTTACGATATTTTTAATGGTGTTTTTGTTCGTCCCCATCGGCAACATTTAGATCATATTTTACGAGGCGAGATTCCGGTCCGGCCTGTCAGGGCCAACACAATGACATGCTGAAAGGGATGCATAGCGTCCCAAAAGAAAAACCGAGATATTCGATAATAATTCTCCCCTCTCGGGAATCAAGCCCGGGTCTCCTTCGTGCGACAGTGAAACACCTAACTGCTGCACCACAGACGGCGATGATATTTCTTTTCCTAAGAGATAAATATTATGATAGTTTATCTCAGGGATCGCCGTTCGTCAAAATGTCGAACCGCGAGCCCTTGGCCATAGGATGAGCCGCGGAGATGTGTTAGGGATCAAGTGTCACGCGTCGGGCAAATTGTGGGGGTACAGCGGAGTTTTGTCTCCTAAAAGCTGACATTTTGAGAAGCGACATTCTTGTTTCATTGTCTCTGTTGTTGTTGTTGTTGTTGTTGTTGTTGTTGTTGTTGTTGTTGTTGTATGTGAGTGATAGCCTATCCTTCCACATTGTTTGGAGCCCTGAAGAGTGTGTTCTTCACCATGGCCACCGCTTCTCTTGTTGTTGTTGTTATTGTTGTTGTCGTTGTTGTTATTGTTGTTGTTGTTGTTGTATGTGTGTGATAGCCTGCCCTTCCGCATAGTTTGGAGCCCCGAGCCCTAAGAGCGGGTTCTTCGCCATGGCCACCGCTTCTCTTGTTGTTGTTGTTGTTATTGTTGTTGTTGTTGTTGTTGTTATTGTTATTGTTGTTGTTGTTGTTGCTGTTTTTGTTAGGCGTCTTTTGTTTTGCTGCAGTTGGTGGTCCTTTTGTAAATGCTTTTATTGATTTTCAGTTTTGAAAATTATTGTTGTTGCAAAAACGAAAGCTAATCATTATCTCCCCCCCCC